CACTGCCTCCTTTTTGGCTTTGAGGGAAACTTGCTAAACGATGAAAAATTTATTCTTCTGTACGATTTAAATACTTCTAAGAACCCTGATTTTCCTTACTGGCAGTACGACCCGTTCGATTTTGATGAACTATGTGATGACGAGTGTAAAGCTGAATTTCGCTTCTTAAAGAGCGACATTTATGTCCTGAAAGATGTGCTACAAGTACCCGATGAGGTTGTTTGTTATAACAGACTAGTTGTCCATGGAATTGAGGCCTTGTGTGTTCTTTTAACGCGATTTGCATATCCTATTCGCTACACCGATATGTACCCTCGATTTGCTAGACCTGTACCACAGTTCAGCATTATAACAACTACAATGATGGACATCATTTACAGCCAACACAGTCACCGCTTGAGAAGCTTCCATTAGGCTTGGCTTTCCCCTGAAAATCTTCAAACCTTTGCCGATGTTGTCCACGAGGCTGGAGCTCCCTACACAAACTGTTGGGGATTTGTGAACGAGACAGTCAGACCAGTTTGTAGACCTGGAACTTTACAGAGGACTTTATACAATAGACATAAACGAGTTCATGCTATTAAGTTCCAATCAGTGGTTGCCCTCAATAAACTGATTGCTAACTTGTACGGTCCTGTTGAAGGGCGACGCCATGATAGTGGTATGCTAGCTGATTCAGGCCTGTTACCACAGTTACAGCTTCACTCTCGCTCACCTCTTGGAAATCCTTTACGCATTTATGGTGATCTGGGATATCCCTTGCGTCCACAGCTACAAACACCATTCAGAGGCTAACATCTAACTGCACTCCAACAGCAGTTCAATACATCCATGAGCACTGTTAGATCAAGTGTTGAATGGGTTTTTGGGGACATAATCAACAATTTCAGTTTCCTTGACTTCAAGAAAAACTTGAAGATAGGTCTAAGTGCAGTGGGGAAAATGTATATTGTTTGTGCACTGTTAACTAATGCTAGAACCTGTTTGTATCCCACATCGACCAGCAGCTTTTTCAACTTAGGACCACCTTCATTACAGGAGTACTTTTCTTAAGTGAATTTACCATCAAGTTGGGCACCAAGGCCTCAATATTTGGAGTTAAGCCACAGGGATAACATCATGATGATTGTGTATTTCATCGCTATGGACTCTATAATTTCAGCAATTTTTGTTCTGTCTTACCATGTTTTTGTTTTGCTATAATGAAAACAAAGTAGCAACTGAATGAGATAATTGTAAAATAGAATGAGAGAGGCTTTAAATTTTACAAGGTGATATGGCACAAGCATAGAACTTTTGTAACTTTGGTGCTGTTCAAATCTATAAAAAATGAAAAAGGTGAATTTTCCTAATAGTTTTGTAATAGTTGCATTAAGGTGGTTGGCTTTGTACACTGCAAGAAATTTTGAATCCATATGATACTTAACTGATGGAATTACTTAAGTTGAGCTTCAAAAATCCGTGTTATAAAGGTTTAAAAATCTCAGAAGTGCTAAGTGGATGATGTAAAAGCTTTACTTTCTGGGCCCATTGGCATCTTGAAATATAAATGGTCTAGCTCAATCAAACAAGACTGGCCCATCTGTCTGCTCGGTTCACATAGAGCAGTTAAAAAATGGAGCTAATATACACTTTCAGGCAGGATTTGCTGACTTGATTAGTATAGTTAAGCCTGTGATTAAACTCTCTGAGGAGTTGAGAACCCTTCTTCCTAACCTCCAGCCCTCAGCCTGTTAGCAGGCTACATGTGTTTTTTAAACAGCAAGACTTCAACTATCATGATATTGTTTTTAAAAAAAACATTAATTTTTGTTTAGATATAATGGTTATGCAACCAATGTATCTTAAAAAGCTTATCTAACAGTGTGTCTAGTCTATGGAAGTATTATTTTTATCTGAGAAAAATTGGTGCTGCATATTAAGATACTGCTTGAGGTTTTTAAGACAATGGCTGTGCTTGTGATATGAATATTATTTATTTAAACACAACAGTTAGCTCCTAAAAGATCAATCACATGAATAGAGATCCAAAAGCCTGTCCTGGTACAGACTAGTATGCATAACCAAACACTGCATCTAGGTAAAATACCGATTAATCATTAAAATGCATGCATGCTTCTCTCATTTTAAACAACAGTAAACAACAGTTGTAAGCATCAAACACCACATCTATCCCTAAAACCGCACAGGGCATTTTGACAAATAAAAACACTCAACAGCATGCTTCAGTCAGATTTGGGACAATTTTTAGACAGCCTATCCATTACAGACAAAACGAGCTGCGACTGCTGCTGCATCATCATTTGGTATTGCTGTTGCTGTTGCAACATCTGATGCTGTACGTTTACCTGTTGTGTCTGAAAATGTTCAAGCATTTTAACCATAGTGTCAGTTGCTGAGGATTGTTTTTGAGCTGCTTCCAGCTGCATTTCTTTCTGTAGCTCCCTTTCTTCCTTCTTCGTTTCAACTCTTCTTTCCTTAGGTCAAACTCTTTCTCAGC